GCAAATATTCTTTGTAACATAGCCAAGTAGTTAATTCTTAATTTCATTGTCTAATTAATAGACCTCTAGTTAAAGAGCTACCAAGATGGACTTTGTCCTGCACATATAGCAAAGTCTTCATTCCTTGCCTGAGTCTAGACATAGAGAGCTTAAATATTTTTTGACTGCAATAGCCAAAAACTGAATGGATAAATGTGGGAATAAATAATTCCCCCATTCTTTCCCTGGCAATTCCTCTGTGAATACCCCATCTTATTTTTCCACTTAAACTTGTCTTAGATAATCAAGTTCTTTAATCTCAGTAATACTGTAAAATACTTTAATATTTCAAGATGGTGAGCATTTTGCTCTGGCCAACTTATTGAAAGACCTCTCAGCTATTACAGCTATGACAGTCCCTCTGCTATTAATTCATTACTCATCTCTTTACTCATTAATTCAGAGCTGGATGCCCAATAATGAAAGAGAGTGGGAAGTGCAATTCAGCTAAAACTGGAAGGGCTTAGATTTCCTGTCTCTGCATAGTTAGGATTGATTTTCTTCTCACACCAGTGCTTAATTAGCCAGTTTTGTCTGTTTACCTTGTCCTGTGCCATATTTTAATTGAGATGAAGATCATGTGTGTTGGAAGCTCCCCTCCTCCTTCTGCTTATGCTAGGAATATCAGTAGAGAAATGTTGAACTGATAGCTCATTGTAGCTGCTGGCTCTTGGAATACAAGTTTAGGGCATATTTCATTCAAAACACTAACACAGATTATATGGCTTCACAGAGGAGAGCTAGATTGGTGTAATGATTAAGATTCCTGGGCTAGAATCCTGGCTACTGTGAGTTCAAGTCCCGTTCTTGGGCACAAAGCTCAAGAGAAGTGACCTTGGGCCAGGCACTCTCTCTCTCTACCCAAGGAAGGAGGCAATAGTAAGCCACTTCTGAAAAAGTTGGTCCAGAAAACTAAATGCCCTTGTTCAGACAGTTGCTAGGAGTCATGACTGACTTGAAGGCACATAAAAAAGTATAACCAGAAACTACCCCAGTAACCTGATCATTTTTCACAATTTAATAGGATTAGTTAATATTCCTCTAAATCAAAACAACACACAGCTAGTTTACTTAATCAATAAATTCCTTAACATGGAGAAATCAGATTTAGCCATAGTCAAGATATGCAAGTAACACAAATGCCAGTCCTTGTGTGATGAACATTTATGTACATAAGTTGGTGGTTACAGCTAATGAGGCAGGATCTTTTCTACATACTATAGAAGAGCAATGTCAAGAAGTAGGAGTGTGAATCAGATATTTACCTTAAGTCCTTCTCTGGTTTCATGGTAGAAACCCCAGCATAACATTAGGAAAACATACCTTCTGCTAAACTCAGGCTATCCAGGTCAATACACAGAGTGAGAGCTCAAGGTGTGAATTATAAAGTGTAATTGTCTAAAACTTTGCATATGGATTAGAGAGGTTTTAAACTATTCATCAGCAGTAGGGGGATTTTTTTTTACAATTATTATTAAACGACATATTGTACATCTCCAAATGGCATAGCAATGTTAATTCTTTGTGGCTACATAATTCTACATAGAGATGCAAAAGTCTAATTAAAGAACATCTACAACAAAACCATTCTGCAACTGTAAACATATAGACTCCTGTATTGATTTCTACATCTCTATGTACGTATCTACCCTTTCTAGGAGTGACTATTTGTGGAGAAATATCATTGGGCACATTGCCAAGGGTGGAGGAAGATAAGGAATTGAGAAGTCATAGGGAGTAAAGTGGCTGTGCCAACTGAAGAAAAATTGCTTCTTTAGAAGTACGTATATAACTGTTGGCAGAATGCCTGTTCATTTGTCCACAGCCATAAAATGACTAAAATGTACTTTCTTTGGAGTTTGGGAGAAAGTATTTCTATCAAGTGGGTCTGTAAATCAATTACATTCTACATGGCAATCTGTGTTTTGAGCATTTCCATTTTCTCTTTTGAATTACCAGCCAATCCCTCTGGTGATGCAATTGTTTGAACTGCTACTTTAAAATAGATTTTGCCCATATTCCACAATTCCTCCAGAATAGATATCTTATTCCTTTCTTTCTTAGATATCTTATTCCTTTCTTTCTTAGATATCTTATTCCTTTCTTTCNGGTGTAACTATGTTTTGAATTCAGTAGGTAGTTCTGGTCATGGTATCTCAAATGCTGGAAAAAGGGAAGAATATAGTTGGTAGGGCCAAAATGATTAAGGAGTTGCAGCAAAGAGATGTGAAAATATTCATCAGCCTGGAAAAGAGTGAAGTTTTTCTTTCTTTCTCACAATGGTGTGATGATCAACAAATTCATGGAGAGGCTGCATAACTCAATTCATGAAATCTTTCTCCCTCCTCTGTCTCTATCTCTCTTCAAATCCAGGCAAGTGTCTGAAATTGTCCTTCAATTTTTATCGCAAGATAATGGGAAGTGATTTGGCATTGCCTCCTAGGACTGAGACAGAGGGATTGGCCCAAAATCCCCCAGCTGGCATTGTGTCTAAGGCAGGGGTGGGTTTCAAAAATTTTAGCAAAAGGTTCTCTGCCTGGTGGGTGTGGCCATTGTGGGTGTGGCCTAGTCTGCCTCCTGCACTGGGAGGGGGCATTTTTGCCCTCCCCTGGCTCCAGAGGTTTTGTTTGAGCCTCCGGGAGGGTGAAAACAGCCTCCCCAAGCTTTGGAGGGCCTCTAGAGGCCAGAAAAGAGCCCATTGCCAGCATTCCCGAACTTCTAGTAGGCCCGTTTTTCATCCTCTCTAACTCTTTGCGCATGCCCTGAACTTACCTACATCCAAAACAAGCTGCGTGGAGACTTCTGGGAGGGACGGGCTGGGGTAGGTGGGGCCAGCCAGGAGTGGGATTTGGGAATTCTTTGAATTGCACAGAATCTTAGCTAGAGGTTCTCCCGAACTCCTGCCAACCCCCAGCAGCCCACCCCTGAGGTGAGATTGGAATTCACCATCTCCTGGTTTCTAGCCTGGTGCCTTAACCACTACACTAACTGGTTCTCTTCTTTTATATATTTATGAGCTGAATTTTACACCAATCAGAGCAGTCGTATGTGAGCAAGCAAACCATCCCATTACTAGTTTTCTTCTGACATGTTCTCAACAGTCCAGATGTTCCCACTGCCCAAAAAGGACATGGGACCACTCCTATGCCGGCATGTATTTATTCTCCCATAGGAAATCACATTTATACAGGACTGTCCACATACTGTGTGTAAGATATAAGCAACAGTCTCTTTTTTTGTTTTGTTTTATCTGATCCATCTGGTTCCTCAGCATTTTTCTACGTTTCTTCCTCCTGAAACACCTAAAACATTTTCCCTTCATCTCAGCATCACTGAATCTGCAATCCAATACCCACTAAGGCACCATCAGATACAATGGGAGACGTATTTCTATAATTGTGCCATAGAAGGTGTGGTTAATAATTGGAACACAAGATTTCCACAAAAACAACAGAAAATGTTTAGGTTAGATGTTGAATTTCCAAGGGGTTTTTTTTTTTTTTTCCTTAAGGTAAATCAAGAGGGAAATGATAAAGTCTTGGACTGGTGAACAAGAATAAGTGAAAAGGTCACATATATAAATGCATGCTGTATATACCTGTTGAGAGATTGGAGGAAAAAGAAACCAGCATGTGGTCAAATGGTATCGGCTATTTATTATGTTTGGTGTTGTACTTATTGCAATAATTATATATATATTAATTAATTTAATTTTAGTACAGTTGGAGTGATACTTGGTTTTGAATATTTGTTATACTTTGTTTCCTGGCATACAGCACCTGATCAGTCGGAATCAGCGATGCTGCAGAGGAATGTGTAAACATGAAATAATTCATGTTTGATTGTTTTCATAATTCTAAAGCACTGAATTATTTCTGCTTCCCGAGAGATACCCCTTCGACTCTCCCACATT